AGAACTGCTTTGGCGAATCTTCCAGCGCGCGGTGGATTCGCCAACGGCAGGTTCGTCGAAGACCCCCCCCCTTGCAAACCACTTTCGGCGGCCCTGAGACAGTCGGACGTCTGCCCCGCGATGGCCCTTGAATCTCGGATGTCAGGCCCCGGCGGCCCCCGCGAGGTCTCCGGGGGGGCGCCGCGTGAGGGCCCCGCGTTTGGATGATGTTTGTCTCGGTGTCTTCTGCCGCTGAAGCCCCAGGTCGCAGAGTGCACGCCGCGGCGCGCGCTTCCCTGGCCACGCTGCGGCGCAGCAAAAGCGAGCATCAATCAAAACCCTGCGCGATGCGAGCGCCGCGGCCCTCATGCATCAGAGCCGTATAGATCTGGCGTATAACGGATCATAAACGCATGCGAAGCCCTCCGAGCAGCATCCGGCGCGAGCTCCCGCGAGGACCTGTCCGAAACTTGTCCGTCGAACATGTTGCGCTCCATCTCATGCACTTTGGAGCGCGCCCGCTTCGCGAGCAAAACCCACTGAACTTCTAGGAGCTGCTCAGGATTAAAATGGCCAATGACTTCCTGCCGGGCAGCGGGGAGAGGCCCTTTTTCACAAGCGCTTTGGCAGCGGGGGTTCGCTTCGCAGGAGGGCCTTCTTAGCCTTCATCGTGGTCGCTGCCTTGGTGTTCTTATTATTCGTCGCCTTCGTCGCTCTGTGAGCCTTGGCCAGAGCGGCTGTCTCGCTAGGCGTCGGGGCCCGTGCAAATTCAGCGCGACCCAGCAGGCTTGCGACCTGCTCTGACGGCGCGCTCGGGCCCACCTTGGTCTTCACACGCAAGCGATGCTGAACTGGCCGAGGTGGTTGAAGTCCATGATGGCTGCTTGCCACGGAGCCCGAGCTCACCTCAGCTTTGGGCGCGCGCTCGCGGTAGTTCGCCTTCTCGGCCTTGAATAGGTTAGCCTCTAACCAATCAAGACCGCGCGAAAAAAAATGAGGCGTGGCCGAAGAAGTGGGCGCAGGACTGCGCACATCATCCAACTGACCGCTGTCGACGTCCATCGCGAGGTCGACCACGGGCTCTTGCTGGGCCACGTCGCTCGCGACTTCCATGACATATTCGTCGCTGCCGGTGCTGCTTGATGCGTCATCTCCCCACTGGCCCAGTTCAGCACCGCTCTCTTGGGGGCAATGCACTTTCGAAAGAACAGCACCTAAACTCTCGTATCCACGAGGCGGTCTCTTCGAGGACTCCTTGAACTGCTGAACCCTGAAATCTCGGAGGTGGGCCATTATTGCACGCAGGCGGCACACCGCTTTCTCGACAGATAATGTGTCACATTTTTTCTCGCGATCGATCGCCCACCGAAGCACTTGTTCGAAGAAAGGTTTGTGGGTGAGCAGTCGCCCACCAGAGAGTTCAAAGATATCGTGCAATATTTGTCGTGACCGTTTCACTTCTGGCCAGCATATTGTCTTTGTCGAATCATCAGGTGATCCCTTCGAATAGTGCCACAACGACTGAACATCGGCGGACTTATCCACATCTAACCTAACAGCGAATGCACTAACGGAGTCTCTAGTTTGACGCTGACTGTCTTGGGCATCGCCTATGCGGATCGGGCGCTCGATCAAAAAACTTGCTATGGTATGTTCAGGTGGGTTGTAAACGCGTGTCGTTATATTTCGGGGGAGGCGTACCGAGCTAGTCTTACCGTTGGGTGAACTTTACGCACGCCATCTAGGTGAGGGAAGGGAGGATCGAGAGGGGCAGAGCCCCAAGATGGCCTCAGACGGCCTCGTATGTCCAAGACTGCCACAAGACGACCCAACACGGATCTCCCCAAGAAAGTGCCAGGCGGTCCCAAGAGGGCTCCAGACTGCCCCAATACGGTTCTGGACGGCCCCAAGACCTTTGCTTGTGTGATTGAAGGTCTGTTTTTTTGGGGGGCATTTTGGCGTGTAGGAAACACGTAACGGGAGTAGCCTCTCACCCAGATGGCCCATAAGCCAGCTTGCCGCAGAGGTACTGTCGGATGCTTCTTCGTCCTGCAACAACAGAAACGGGCAGAGCAGGACAAGGGTGACGAAGATGAGGAGGATCCAACCTGAATGGGGACGACGACAGCGAGGACGGACGACGAAGCAGACGAGGCGAGCGAGCGAGCGAGGCGTCACGGCCGCCACCCAACGATCGATCGAAGCGAGCGAGAGAGCGAGGCGTCACGGCCGCCACCCAACGATCGCTCGAACGGTCCGCTGACCCATGCATGTGGGTCATCAGGCGTGCTAGTCTTCTGTATCTTGTTTCGGCATTTCCAAAATATTGAAACATCTAGAAGCAATGAAATAGGTTTGCATCTAAAAAATAGAAGCATCTATAGTTATAGTCGCAAATGGTCCTCTGGGGAAGCAGATTTACACCAAAGAAAAACCCAAAACAAGGGATGGTTTTCAATGAATGGGATCGATCGGGAACCCCGCAACCCAAAATCCACAAAAACGGCCCAAAACCAATAAACAGAAACCCGGGAACCCGGAACCGGGTCCCGGGGAACCCAGCCGGATACCAACATCGGCGGGAAACTTTCGCCAAATCTTTCAATTTCCGCTAGGACCCCTTCAGTGCAAGCACTGATTGAGGAATAAAAGGTCCCAGGGACGCACACAAATAAACCCCAGGAGTCTTAAGATTTTCGCATGTGATCTGGGTTTTCGTCCTCCCTCCCGCTCCCCCTATGTTCCCCATAGCTCCCTGGGAGTCGACGATTAATCTGTGTGATTTTTCCCCTCCTGAGCAGAGGAGGGGCCGACGTAAGACGAAGCCAGGGCGAGGACAACTGCGGGTGAGGATGCAGCGGAGGCCAGTCCACAAGAAACCTTACACAAGAAACCCAACCCTGAGACCCCAGGACGTCCATGGAATTTTTTGCGTGGGAACGTCACGCGTTCCATGGCAGAACCACGGAAACCCAAGAAACCCAGGGCACCCTGAAGGCAATCAAGGTATTTCTTGGCATGGGCCTCCACTGTAAGACGAAGACAGGGCGAGGACAAATCCGGGTTGGGATACAGCGAGGATCTCTGGTATCTGGGGGCCGGGGAAACTGTCTCGGGCGCCGCGGCCTTCCCAAAGCGCTCCCGAACGCTCTGAGAGCATTCCGGAACGCTCTGGAACGGACTTGTCCTCGTCCTGGCCCCGTCCGATCTTAACCATCTGGAGCCCCCAGTGTGCCCGCACCGAAAGTTCACTCTGGCGAAGGGTCACTCCTTGCGTGTAGCCGATCCTCGGAGACATCGAACGGGGGGGGGTAGCAGAAAGGCGGCTCGCGCAGAAGTCCGGGCTGACATACCCGAGAAGCAGAGCGACAGCCGTCAGCCCCGACGGCCAACGATCGGGACGGGTGCCTTTGGACTTCTGTGAGGGCCATTTACTTTAGCGTCGATGGCAGCACACCGCCGGCAAAAAGGGGGCGACGCGCAGGGACTGGGGCGAACCCGAGGCCGGGAGACGGAGGAGAGGGGAGCGACGGCAACGGCCCGACGGCCGAGGGGGGGAGGACGAGGCCCCGGCGGCAGCGCGAGGGACGAGCGGGGAAAGAGAATGGAAGCGATGCGCGACGGCGGGACAAAGGGGAAAAGGACGACTCCGCGCATGTGAACAAACGAACGTGCAAACACAAGCGCGCACACGGACAATACGCGCACACACACACACACACACACACACACACGCACACACACACACACACACACTTTGGGTATCACGGCCCTGCGCGAAGAGACAGGGCGTAGAAGCCACACTTCACACACACATACAGAAAGACTCACACACACACTCTTGTCCCCCCGACGCACCAGCGGCCAGTCTGTGGAGCACCTAGCAGTGGGGATGCCAGGGACTAGACCTGAGTTCCTTGTAAAGCACATGTCGCGACGGAAACACCCGAAAACGAACACTGACGACCAGCAACACAAGGACCGACGGTATAGGCAAAGAACAGACGCGAGACGGAACAACAGCACGGGCAAACAAAACCGACTGGGCGGGAGTAGAAACAGCTACCGGACAGACTGGGGAGGATCGGCATATGAAACACACACGCGCGCGCACACACACGCACTGTCCCCACCAGCGCGCGGCTGACTGCATACCGTAGAAACGGCGCAGCGGGATACATCCACATAATTCGAATTGGATTCCTGCTGGGAAGATTCAGGAACAAAGGCTAGCAACGCGCGTTGGCGAATCCGAGCGCAGGAGAAGGGAGATGCAGGATGAGGGAGGAGCATGAGGAGGAACAGTGGGGCCACCACACGCACACACACACACACACATAGGAACACACACACACACACGCCACGGCACGAAACGACACACACGTCTTGTAGCTTCGCGGACGATTGATCCAACGCAGCGAGGGCAATAACGGTACGCGGCATCGAGCATGTGCCGATGGTTGTCAAGCCGATGGTTGAGGCATTTATGTAAAAGGTGGCCAAAGCCCACGCACGCGGAAGACATAAACCCCCGTGAGTACCCCAAAGAGAATCCCAACAAGCCTCTTGTCCACGACCCGGTCTGGCCGAACGCCACTCAACACCGCATCCAGTAATTACGGGCCGGCGGAGTGAGCGAAGCGATTGAGTACAGTCATGGCGCTACCAGGAGGAACGCTACAAGGAAAGAAGACTCTGGCTTCCAAAGTTGAGTCACCAAGATCAAAGCAATACTCGAACGCGGGCACTTTTTCCCCTCAACGCCGCGCCCGCAGCCTTGCGCCCTGCAGCAGGCCGGCCTGGCTGGCGGCGACGCCGGCGCCGAGCTCGGAGTTCTCCTTGTAGCCGACCAGGTAGGCCTTCGCGGCGTTCAGGCCGTCGAGCTCCGCTCGCCGCTTGGCGCGCCGCTCCTGCAGAGGGAATCCCACAAAGCGCATGTTAGCCTTCGGAGCTCCGCAGGGGTTTCCTGGACCGGAGCTGGGACACTCTCCTTAGCGCGCTGCCCGCGCCAAGGACGGCGCCCCGAAGCTCCGCCGGGGGGTCCAGCACCTCCAAGAGAACCACGCCGAACTCCGAAAATCTACGATCATGCAGCTCTGTCTTCTTCGAGCTCCGGGGCGTTATTGATGATCCAGTCGCAGTCCGGCTTGATGTCCTTCAGGTAGTCCTTCTCCGCCTGCAGGTCGTCCTTGTTCGTGGCCATGGCCTGCTCCTCCTCCACCTGAGCGACGCAAACAAAAGCACCTTACGCGCGATGACGTAGCGGCCTTGCGCTGTGGCTTACGCGGGCCGCCAGCGCGGCACGCCACACTGAAAACCAGAGCGCTTGCGCGCAACCTTACATGGGCAGCTTATGCGCTACTGTCGGTGAAGACGACCCCGTTGTCTTCCGTTACTCACCTTGGCCTCCTTCTTGTTCTCGATGTCGGTCTCGAGGTTGACCTTCCTCTCCTCAAGGGACTCGATCAGGGCGTGGGCGGCCGCCACCTGCTTCTCGTGCTCGAGCTGCGCGACCTCCTCCTGCTTCTTGCCGAGGGCGATCTCGCCCTGGAGGTCCTCGATTATGTCCGACAGGATCGCCAAGATGCCCTTGTTTCGGAGGCGTCCAAGAAGGAGGCGTCCAAGAGGCAGACTTGGAATTCATGGCTCAGGGCATGTGCGCGGACGAAGGGGAAAACAAGGGACGGCATGAAAGAAGAAAAACCATACGTAGAAGAAGAAGAAGAAGAGGCGCCGCGAAATCTGGGAAGAGATCTACAGAGCTAAACGAAAACATAAACACAAACACTCGGAGGTCCACTGGAGGAGCCTCCGGCGCCCCCCCCCCCCCCGCGCGCTCCGCGCGCAAGGGAGGGGGAACCAGCGCCGATCCAAGAAATCAGCGCCGATCTCCGAATTTGTCTGTTCATGCCTTGGCTTGCTCCACGGATAACGTGCTCCTGGCCGTGACATCCCCCCCTGGCCATCGCTCGGGCGTCCATTCGCTGTTTTTTTCGGTTTCGTGCATGGTTTGTGCCAGATGATCAAGGATGCTCCTCGATGGTCCTCGCCGAAGAAAAATGCACACGTCCGAGCGATGCCAAGCGTATGTGCACTGAGGTATCCGGGTCCTGTCGCATGGGGCTTCGCAGAAACGCCATGCGACAGGGCCCAGGCAGGACCAACGAGCCGAGGAATGGGCGACATGGAGGAGGAGGAGGAGGAGGAGGAGGAGGAGGAGGAGGAGGACGGGGAGGGGGAGGAGGAGGAGGAGGAGGAGGAGGAGGAGGAGGAGGAGGAGGAGGAGGAGGAGGAGGAGAACGAGGAGGGGGAGGAGGAGGACGAGGAGGGGGACGTCACCCCCTGAGCCTATCCCTGGTCATCCCCCCTGGTCATCACCCCCTCCTGGCCGCCCCCGATTGCCGCGGGCCCCCGAGAAGGGTGCGGCGACGGGCCGCGCGATGGCCTCCAAGCCGCCCAGGGACCTCGCCGCGCGGCCCGCCACCGCACGGCCCTGGGGCCCTCGGAGGTATGAGGCGGAGGAGGAGGAGGAGGAAAAAAAGGAGGAGGAGGAGGAGGGAAGAAGGAGGACGAGGGAAAAAAGAGGAGGAGGAGGCAAATAATGAGGAGAAGGACAAGGAGGATGAGGAGGAGGAGGAGGAGGAGGAGGAGGAGGAGGAAAGGAGCAGGAATGGGAGAACAACGAGGAGGAGGAAAAGAAGGAGGAGGAGGATAAGGAGGAGGAGGAGGAGGAGGAGGAAAGAGGAGGAGGAGGAGGAAGGGGAGAGTAAGGAGGAAGAGGAGGAGGAGGAGGAGAAGGAGGAGGAGGAGGAGGAGGAGGAGGAGGAGGAAGGGGAGAAAGAGGAGAATGAGGAAGAGGAAATGGAGGAAGAGGAGAAATACCAGGAATACCGCCGAGAGAACAGTCTTATAAATAGTTGGACCCCCTCTCTGAGCTCCACGGGGGAGGCGACGACATGGATGAGCGCCACGACGAAGAGCCCCCACACCAGCCAGAGACCTGGAATGCGTTCGCCATATTTCATGTACCTCCGCACTCCAAATATTGAGTGTATCGAAACACGTGCGTGCAGGACTCCACTACATACCTCACTGCTGCTTGCATCCATCGACAGGCGGGGCGGCAGGTGGAGCAGGCATCGGCGCTGCTCTAACCGCTGCAGCCGTGGTCTCGCCGAGATTGCGGAACAATGAAGCGAGGTCGGTACTCTGGGAAGTATCAGAAGTAGCAGGCCGAGAAACACGACGTGGCCCACGAGGAACCCGTAGAACATCGACGTCTCGCAAAAGTCTCTCCCGCTCATCTGCCCAGACCGCGTCGACCTTGGGATCCGCGCCTGAGGGGTCTTGTTGATCAGCGCCCCTGCCCCGGGCGGCCTCGGCGTCGAGGCGCGCACGGCGGCGAACAAAAGACTGCCCCTTGGCCAAGCGCCGATCCACTCCTCGAAAGCCGACCACCCGAAGGTTGAGCTCCTCAAGCGGCACGAAGCATTCCGCGTCGGACCTGAACTCGAAGTGTTTTTCACCGTGAGCCGAGGCGTCCCCGTCCCGCGCGGCGCGCCAGCTGCAGGCCCAGCGCACGACGAGAAAGCCAGCGCGCCACATGTGCACCTCGTGCCAAGCGCCTTGGTCCTACACGGCAGGGCAGCGGCATGCTCTGTGGGCTCGACCGCCTGCTCCACCACCTCCAGCGCCTGCACGACGGGGACGAGATCCTGCTCCTGCTCTGCGCTGCCCACTGACTCCGCCACCAGCGGCTCGTGACGTGCCCTGTCGGCCGCCTTTTTGATGCCGCGCCAGTGCGCCGAGATCTCGGGGTGAACGTCGAGGAGCTGCTCAACAGAGCGTTTCGCGCCCCCAAGCCTGTGAGAATGCGCCCCCAGGCCCGCATCCAGCTGCGCATGAACCAGTAGTGCCGGCCCGAGCGGCCGTAGCCGTTGGGCGAGCTCATCGCGAAGTTCGGGAGGTGGAGATAGGGCGTCGATGGCCTGCTGCGCGCAGACATCGGCCGTGCGAGAATGCTGTAGCAGCTCGACCTTGGCCTTCAGCTGCTCCACTTCGGAACGGGCCTCGGCAACGCCACGATCCGCAGCGGCGCGAGCCCGTCGCTGCGCAGCCGTGCGCTGCGCCCTCGAACGACGTAGACAAACACCGGGATCACCAGAGGGCGACCCCTCCCGCGCCATCCCAAGCCTCATCAAGATCCTGCAGCGCCACACTCCGGACCGGCCATGCGCGGGGGAAATGGCGACCAGGGGGCTTGAGGCTGGCTTGAGCCAAAATGGCTACGGATAGGAGGAGGAAGAGGAGGGGGAGGAGGAGGAGGAGGAGGAGGAGGAGGAGGAGGAGGAGGAAGGGGAGAAAGAGGAGGAGGAGGAGGAGGAGGAGGAGGAGGAGGGGGAGGAGGAGGCGGAGGCGGAGTCCGTAGCCATTTTGGCTCAAGTCCGTAGCAGTTTCGGCTCGGACCTGACCTCTCTGGCAGGGGGGACTGCAGCGGCCCCCACCAGCTCACCCCGTCTTGCCAGGTCAGGCGAGGTTTTTACGATTTCAGTGAACTCCTGCAGGAGCAATTTATTTCCTTTCTCTTTCACACATGGGAGGTGATGGTGGCTCAAAGGACGTTCTTCTTGGGCCGAAGAAACCTCTGTGGAGTTGTACGAAGTGCCACAGGAGCGGCAACTGGGCGAGCATAATCAAATGTGCATGCGGGACCGTGGCACCAGCGGCCGTGGTCAAATCGGCGAAGCAGGCGCACGAGAAAGTTGTCACAACTGGAAGTAACAATGTACAGAAAGGACCAAAATGGCGCTGGGCAGAAGGAGCACCAGCAACTCTCGACAAGGCCCTGCAGGCAATTATCAAACGCTTGGAGTCTCTCGAGAAGCCGTCGTCCGTCTCCACGTCCACCCCCCCGTGGCAGGACAAAGGTGATGGCAACAATGAAGAAAGGGCTCTCAAAGATCGTCTCGCTCATTGGCAGAAGGCGTCAAAGTTGTCGGTACACCTTGCTGACCAAAGAATGGCAGATGAGATGGTTGAGCAACTCCAGCAGCAAATACAGAGTGCGACGCCGTATCATGTACAAGCGCACTCTGTCACATCCAGGCTCGAGAGGGCCAAATATGTTGCGGCAAAAATGTCTGTCAAGCTCACCCCCACGAAGGAAGAGGTGGACAAGGCCAAGATTGAGCTCGACAAGAGAGTGCATAATGCAGAGGTTGCGCCTCAAGAAGCGCAGCGGCAGGTTCAGACATTACAGCAGGAGGCCAAGGAGACGTTCGCCAGGGGGTTCTGCAATGATGCGGACACTGTGCCAGTACTCAAGTTGGACGAGAGCATCCTAGCAGGCTCGAGTGAGGAGTTCAAGAGTTGGTTCCAGCAACAGAAGTCCACACAGGACGAACACTTCGAGACGCTCCGTAAGCTCTTGGAGGCCCAAGCAGTGGCTGCTGCCAATGCTGCTCGTCATCCACCTCCTGTGCCTGAGTCTGGCGATGGTGACACGGACGTGGATCTCGACGATGCCGATGATGACATCAGAAAGCTTGGACAGGCCACGGCTGGAGTCGAGGCAGCCAGAACCGCCCACAGTGCAGCACAAATTGAAGAGGCTCGAGCTGAGGCCGCGCAGAACCTCAGCAAAGCCAAACGTATCTTGGCAGAGCAGATCGCTTCCCTGGCGGGAGAGCGACAGCGGCGTTGGTAACCTGGCCCCTGAATTCTTGGCATACTACATCGATATGCACTATGAGTTGCAGGTAAGATTAGATCCCTTAGTGTGCGTGACAGATACAACGGAGGCTCTGCAGGTGATTCCTGCTAGGGTGCATGACGAAATGCACCACGTCGATAACAGTTTCCAATTGGCGAACTTCATGCATGGCAAGGTCATTGACACTGGGTGGGAGGGATTGGCGTTTCCTTTTCCTGCCATTTGTCCCAGCGTGGGGTTCGCCGAAGCTCGTTTGGATCCCAAGTATGAGTCTACTGCAACTGGGTCGGGGCCCTTTCGTCGGGATGCAACTGATGAGAGCCTGAATCCAGCGTGCGATGTATGTCGGGCAGTACCAGATGATGATGAGCCTCCCCTTTCTTCGACTTCGGCGGCTCCTAAGGGTTCGGAGGCCACGCGTGCTGGACCTTCTGCGTCTACAGGTGCCGCGCTGGGGGCTACTGAGAAGAAGGAGGCTTCGCTGCCACACCATATCTTCCATGATGCCATCACGTCAAGAGCTACTCGTTGGCTGCTCAGGCTTGACGTGGAAAATACAGGATATGATGGTTGGATGACCTGGTGCACACCATATGTCACTGCAAAGTTGCAAGCTTGTGCTTGGGTAGATGAGCGCAGGGATGGCAGATCTTTGGAGGAAATGGCTAGTGATGTATGTTACAGCAGTTGGGTCCAGTCAACAGATGGCAGAGGGAACGTTGTGCAGTACTTCGACTGGCTCAAAAGGTTTGCTTCACATGAATGCTGGGAACGCGAGGTCAGGAAACACTGGACGGGCCTCAAGCATGTGAGGATGGATATGAGGAAATACTTGGGAGCTTCGGCTCCCCCAGCTGCACGTGCATTTACCGAGGAT